CCACATAAACAGAATTAAAAACAAAACCACATGATTATCTCAACATGCAGTTGAGATGCAGAAAAAGTACAACAAAATCTAGCATCCCTTTATGATTAAAACTGTCAGTAAAATTAGCATATATGGGACATACCTTGATGTAATAAAATCCATCTATGACAAACCCACAGGCAACTTAACACTGAATGGGAAAAAGTTGAAAGCATTCCCCTGGAGAACTGGAAAAAGACAAGGATGCCCACTCTCACTACTCTTCGTTATAGTACTGGAAGTCGTAGCCAGAGCAATCAGACAATAGAAAGAAATAAAAGGCATCCAAATCGGTAAAACAGAAGCCAAGCTGTCACTGTTTGCTGAAGATAAGATCATTTATCTTGAAAACCCTACAGACTCCTCCAGAAAGCTCCTAGAACTGATAAAAGAATTCAGTAAACTTTCTGGATACAAGATTAATGTACACAAATCAGTAGCTTTTCTATACACCAACAGTGACACCAAGCAAAGAATTAAATCAAGAAATCAACCACTTTTACAATAGCTGCAAAATAAATAAATAAACAAAATACTTGGGAATACATCTAACCAAGGAGTCAAAAAACTTCTACAAGGAAAACTATGAAACACTGTTGAAAGAAATCGTAAATGACACAAATGGAAACACATCCTAGTGTGATTTTTGAGGGGTGCTGAAAGAGCTTTGTTTTGTCATATTACCAGGGTTGGTTTTCTGGTTCCTTCTCATTGAGTAGGCTCTGTCAGGGGAAAGGTCTAGGGCTGAAGGCTGCTGTCCAAATTGTTTTGTCCCATGGGATGTTCCCTTGATACAGTACTTTCCCCCTTTGCCTATGGATGTGACTTCCTGTGAGCCAAACTGCAGTGATTGTTGTCTGTCTTCCAGGTCTAGCAACCCAGCAAGTCTACCCAGCTCTGGGTTGGTACTGGGGGTTGTCTATACAGAGTCCTATGATGTGAACTATCTATGGGTCTCTCTGACATACATTCAAGTGCACATGAAACATTCTGAAGGCTAGATCATCTCTTAGGTCACAAAACAAGTCTAACAAATTTAAGAAGACCAAAATCATATCACATATCTTTTCTGTCCACAATCACATGAACCAGAAATGAATAACAGGAAAAAAAAAATAGGAAAATTCACAAATGTGAAAATTAAACAACATACTCCTGAATAACCAATGGGTCAAAGAAGAAAACAAAAGAAAAATTTTTTAAAATCTTAAGACCAATGAAAATAGAAACATAACATACCAAAACTTTGATACAGCAAAAGCAGTTCTATGAGGAAAGTTTATAGCAACAAATATTTACATTAAGAAAAAAAGAAATATCACAAATGAACCGTCTAATTTTACACAACAAAGAAATAGAAAAGGAACAAATTAAGTCCAGAGTTAGCAGAAGGAAGGAAATACTAAAGATCAGAGCAGAAATAAATAAAATGGAGACTAGAAAAATAATTTAAAAGATCAATATAAAAAATAATATAAAAAGATCAATATGAGTTGTCTTTTCAAAGGATAAGCAAAATTGACAAACCTTTGCCTAGACTACTACAAAGAAAAGAAAGAAGACTCAAGTAAATAAAATCAGAAATAAAACAAGAGACACTACAATTGATATCACAAAAATACAATCATAAAAGACTAATATGAACAATTACATGGCAACAATTTGGCCAAACAAGAAGAAAGAAGGAAATTCCTAGAAACACACAACCTACCAAGAATGAATCATAAAGAAAATCTGAACAGACCAATAATGAGGGAGAAGAATAAACCAATAATCAGAAAGCTCCCTAATGAAGAAAATTCCAAGACCTGAGAAGTTACCCTTCTCAAGCATTGGCATCACTTCTTTAAATACTTAGAATTCACCAAACTCTTCCAAGAAACTGAAGAGGAAGGAATACTTCCAATCTTACTTTATGAGGCCAGCATTAATGTGATACAAGAAGGCTGTAAGAATAGAAAATTACAGGCCAATATCCCTGGTGAACATAGATGGACATATCCTCAAAAAAATATTTTCAAACCAAATTCAATAGCTAATTAAAAGGATCATACACCATGATCCAGTGAGATTCATCCCTAGGATGCAAGGCTGCTGGTTTGACACATGCACATCACCTTAAAATGACAAAGAATATCATGTAATCATCTCAATAGATGCAGAAAAAACACTGGACAAAATTCAACATCCTTTAATGATAAAAACTATCAATACATTAGGAATAGAAAGAATGTACCTCAACATCGTTAACACTATATATGAAAAGCTCACAGCTAACATCACACCCAACAATGAAAAGCTAAAAGCTTTTCCTCTAAGATGAAGAGCAAGACAAAATGCTCGCCCTCGCCACTTCTATTTAATATAGTACTGAAAGTCCTAGCCAGGTAAATTAGGCAAGAAAAAGAAATAAAAGGCATCCAAATTGAAAAAGAAAAAAAAATTGTCTGTTTACAGATGACATACTCTTAATAAAGGAAACCCTAAATATTCCACAAAAAAACTATCACAACCAATAAATGAATTCAGTAAATTGTCAGGGTACAAAATCAACAACAACAAAAGTCAGTAGCATTTCTATACTCTATCCAAAAAATTAAAAAAAGAAAATCTCATTTACAATAGTATTTTTCAACACACAGAAACAAATTAATCAAGATGGTAAAAGATCTGTACACTGAAAACTACAAAATACTGACAAAATAAACAGAAGACACAAATATATATAATATCTAATATTTGTGGATTATAAAAACACTACTAAAATATCCATACTACCCAAAATTGTCTACAGATTCAATGTAACCCCTACCAAAATTCCAATGGCATTTTCCCCTAAAATAGATAAAATAACCCTAAAATTCATAAGGAAACATAAAAGTCACCAAATAGCCAAAGTAATCTAAGAACAAAACAAAGCTGTAGGCATTACACTATCTGATTTCAAAATATAACACAAAGCCATTATAATCAAGATAGCATGATACTGGCATAAAAACAAACATAAATAAATGAAACAGAATAGAGAGCCCAGAAATAAATCCATGCATGTACAGTCAACTGATCTATAAAGGTCCCAAAGAACATACAATGATGAAAGCCCAGTCTCTTTAATAAATGGCTTCAAGAAAACTGTATGCCCACATGATATCCACATGATAAACTATATGTCCACATGAATGAAACTGGCCAGTTTTCTCACACCATATACAAAAAAATCAATTCAAAATGGATTAAATATTTAAACATAAGACTTAAAATTGTAAAACTACAGAAGAAAACATAAGGGAAAGCTTTATGACAGGGCAATGAATTTCTGGATATACTCCAACATCACAGGCAAGAAGAGGAAAAATTGACAAACAGGAGTGCATCAAACTAAAAAGCTGTGCACAGCAAAGGAAACAGAGTAAAGAGACAACCTATGGAATGGGAGAAAACATTTTTGAACCATAGATGAGATAAGGGGGTAATATCCAAAATACTAAAATATATATTAAGAAACTGAAACAACTCAAAAGCAAAAAAAACAACTTGATTGAAAATGAGCAAAGGATCTCAGTAACATTTGTTAAAAGAGGACATACAAATGGCCAACTGGTATATGAAAAAATGTTCAACACCACTAATCATCAGGATCATGCAAATCAAAACTACAATAAGGTATCACCTCACATCTGTTAGGAAGGCCATTATCAAAAAGATGAAAGATTAAGTATTGCCAAGGATATGGAGAAAAAGGAACCTTGTACACTGTTGGTGGGAATCTAAAGTGGTACAGACATTATGGAAAATGGTATGATGGTTCCTCAAAATAAAGTTACCATATGATCCAGCAATCCCACTACTGGGTACATATCTAAAAGAAATGAAATTAGTATCTCCAAGAGGTATCTGCACTCTTATGTTCACTGCAGCATTATTCACAACAGCCAAAATATGGAATCAATATAAGCGTTCGTGAACAGATGAACAGAGAAAGAAAATGGGGTATAATGGTATAAACAAACGTGGTATCATGAAATATTATTTGACTTTATAAAAAGAAGAAAATACTGTCATTTGCAATAACATGGATGAATCTGGGGAACATTATGCCTAGTGAAATAAGTTAAGGTACACAGAAAGACAAATGATCTCACTCATATGTGAAAAAAAGCTAATTGCAAAAGATTATATACTATATGATTCCATTTATATAAACTTTCTGAAATAAACATTTAGAAATAAGGGCAGAAATGGGGCGGGTGTGATTATAAAAGACAACATAAGGGATCTTTGTGGTGATGAAACTACTCAGTATCCATGATAAATAAACAAACTTTTTCATGAGACAAAATTGTATAAAACTAAATAAATAATACACAAGTAAAACTGAAAAAATCTGAGTAAGATCAATGGATTGTAGGAATATCCTGCTTGTGGTATTGTAAAATAGTTTTTGGGTGTTTTGTTTTTGAGACAAGGTCTCGCTCTGTCACCTAGGCTGAAGTGCAGTGGCAAAATCATGGCTCACTGTAGCCTCAACATTCCCCAGGTCTCAGATGATCCTCTCACCTCAGCTGTGCCTGGGACTACAGGTGTGCACCACCACACCCAACTAATTTTTGTGCTTTTTGTAGCGATGGGGTTTTACCATGTTGCCCAGGGTGGTCTCAAACTTCTGGGCTCAAGTGACCCGCCCACTCTGGCCTCCCAAAGTGCTGGGATTACAGGCATGAGCCACTGCACCCAGCCTGTACTAGTTTTGCACGATGCTGCCAATGGAAGAAACCAGGTAATAGGATACACAGAATCTCCCTATTTTACTTCATAGAACTGCATTGAATCTACAGCTATCTCAATAAAAATTTCAATTAAGAAATATGTTTTTTAAAAGTTTAGCCTAAGAAGTCAGTCTCCCTGGACTCTGAGTTTTTTTCAGAGTTAAATTCAAACAGTGTAGCTAGTGTGGGATATAAATGACTTACATTTGGGACATCGATTGCTACTTCCCTCATGGCACTGGGTCTGATATCATTCATTCCCTGCAAGAAATCATTCAGAGTAATCTTCACCAGTCCAGCTACCTTGTCATCAGGGAGGTTAGGTTGTTTTCTCAGGATTCTCCGCAAGGCACAGAGACCTGCAAAGAGAGGAATGTAACACAAGATTTGTCTTTTCCTTCATAAATACAGACTGAAATAATGCCACCGGTGGCCCATCTGGAGCAGCCACTGTGAAGAAACCAGCTGCAGTGGGGGAGGCATGGCCAGGACTCTGTACTTCATGAAGCCAGTGGGAGCCAGGAACAGGAAGGAACCCGGCTCTTTTCCAAGTTGGTGGGGCAGGAGCCCCACCCTTCTAGGCACAGTGGCAGCCACCCAGCCACAGATATGGACCCAGGCACCCCTGCACTTTTGGGAACCCAGGAAGCATCCCCTACCCAGCAGGCTCTGAAGTGCCTGCTTCTACTCCCCGGACTCTCCCCAATCCCAGAAAAACTTTTTGCCTGCTCGGATTTCAGACCAAAGTTGAGGCTGAGCCTAGCTGCTGTCACGACCCACCTAAGTGTTCACACACTCAAGGCAGCGCTGACATGCCAGCTCCCTGCCACCTTGGCCCCCTCCAGACTCTGGGTGCCAATGAGCACAGGAGGGAGGCTGAAGAGTAGCAGAGGGTGGCTCAGCACAGTCCTGCAAGCGCCCCGAGCACAAACAGCCTGGGAGCCATGGATGACATGATTGATGGCAGAAGGAGGCAGAAAGGCTCTTGGGCAGAAAGGGTTGAGACCCTGGTGAAGCTCCACCTTCCAGTCAGGGATGGCCTGAAGCATGGGATCCAGGCTGTCAGTGCTGTGTGAAGTCTGCAGCCCAGAGCTAGAACTTACAGTGCTTTTTCTGGGCCTGCCCATGGCCACCCATGGACCAATCAGCATGCACTTCCACCCTTCTGAAGCTCATAAAAATCCGACTCAGCTGGACTCATGGGGACATTAGGACTACCAGCTGTGAGAAGGAGCTACCCACTCTGGGTCTCCTCTCCACTGAGTGCTGGACACTTGTTTGGACACCCTGCCTACAGAAAGGAGCTACCCACTCTGGGTCTCCTCGCCGCTGAGAGCTGTTTACTCATCAAGACAACCTGCCTACAGAAAGGAGCCACTCACTCCAGGTGTCGTCTCTGCTGAGAGCTGGACATTCATTGGGATGACCAGCTTGAGGATAGGGGCTACCCACTCTGAGTCTCCTCTCCACTGACAGCTGGACACTAGTCGGGATGACCAGCCTGTGAATAGAAGCTACCCATTCCGGGTCTCCTCTCCACTGAGAGCTGGACACTCCTTGGGACAACCTACCTGCAGAAAAGAGCTACCTACTCTGGGTCTCCTCTCCAATGAGAGCAGGACACTCACCAGGATAATCTACCTGCAGAAAGAAGCTACCCACTCCAGGTTTCCTCTCCGGTGATAGCTAGATACTTGTGAGGATGAACTGCCTGTGGACAGGAGCTACCCACGCAGGTCTCCTCTCTGCTGACAACTGGACACTTATCAGGACAACCTGACTGCAGAAGGACTTACCCACTTTGGGTCTCCTGAGGGCTGTTCTGTTGCTCAGTGAAGCTCCTCCCTGCCTTACTCACACTCCAGCTGTCCACATAACTAATTCTTCCTGGACACTAGACAAGAACTCAGGAATTGCCAAATGGTGAGACTGAAAGAGCTGTAATGCAAACAGGGCTGAAACATGCCCCTTGGTCACCACATTGTGGGCAACAAGAAAAAGTGGAACTGTAGCCCTTTGGGAAGCCCAGACACAAGAGCTCCCCCTACCAAAGCTGTGACACCCTCTTTTGGGCTCTGCTGTTTCCAGCATCTCCAAGCTTCTGGGTACCACCACATTCCCTGGTGTCCCCAGTAGAAGCCACTTGTGGTACGCCTGGTCCAGCCACATCCTCACATGAAGGCAGCACCTGTGCCTACACCTGGAGCTGCCCGCCCTGCTGTAGCCAGCATGCCTGGTTGTGCACAGTGGCCATACCCCAGGTTTGCTCACACCCCCTTCGTTGCTCTGTGCCTGGCTCACCCTTGGCAGGTGGGATCCAGGCCAAGAGCACAAGCTGAGTGTAGCCTGCCGGGCAGAGTGGGCAGAACAAGCCCAGTGCACCCGAGCAAAACTCAGGCAGAGGTGGTACTGGCCACAGAGGTTTCTGGATGAAAAACTGACACCCTAAGGATCTGATGACAGAATCATCACCAATATAAATAATTAAAATAATTAAAAACCCAAACCCCAAGCAAGATTACAGCAGTTAAAACATTTTGTTCCTGTAGGGGAGTGGATGAGAGGTAGGGAAGGAGATGGAAGAATGTGAAGGATGAATGCAAAAATCCAAGCACTTAGTTTTGGCAATGAAACTATGACAAATATTTAATATGAGAAAGTATAATTTACAAATATAAAATAGAATTCACAAAACAACACCCATAAAAAAAAGCCATGAAGGTTTATCAAAGTAATTTGTTTGAGGAACTTCTTTTAAAAGAGTGATATATTAAAATTAAAACATGCTTTTGCCCCTGCCCTATTGGTAAATAAATTCAAACTAGAATTACAAAGTTTTAAGGTATTGGAAAAACACCTGAAAGGAAATATTCAGGTGGCAGTTGGAGATGTGGTTCTGGAATACAAGAGCAAAGCAACCTTCGAAGTGATGAGCATACACGAGGTTTGATATTACAGCAATAGAGAGATCCATAAGGGGAGGTTAGTGAGGGGTCAGGGCTGGAGGAATAAGTGTAGAAAGCTCAATCTTAGAAAGGCCCATCAATTGAATAGCATCAAAAGAAATGATGGTTTTAAGAGGCTGAGAAAAAACAGGAAGACACAGAATAAAAGGTATCTCCTTAAGCTGATAAGCAACTTCAGCAAAATCTCAGGATACAAAATCAGTGTGCAAAAATCACAAACATTCCTATACACCAATAACAGACAAACAGAGAGCCAAATCATGAGTGAACTGCTACAAAGAGAATTAAATACCTAGGAATACAACTTACAAGGGAGGTGAAGGATCTCTTCAACGAGAACTATAAACCACTGCTCAAAAGAATAAGAGAGGACACAAACAAATGGAAAAACATTCCATCCTCATGAATAGTAAGAATCAATATTGTGAAAATGGCCATACAACCCAAAGTAATTTATAGATTCAATGCTATCCCCATCAAGCTACCATTGACTTTCTTCACAGAACTGGAAAAAACTACTGTAAATTTCATATGAAAACAAAAAAGAGCCAGCTTGGCCAAAATAATCCCAAGCAAAAAAAAAACAAGGCCGGAGGCATCATGCTACCCAGCTTCAAACTATACTACAAAGCTACAATAACAAAAAAAGTATGGTACTGGTACCCAAACAGACACATAGACCAATGGAACAGAAGAGATGGTCTCAGAAAGAATGTCACACATCTACAACCATCTGATCTCTGACAAACCTGACAAAAACGAGCAGTAAGGAAAGGATTCCCTATTTAATAAATGATGTTAGGAAAATCGGCTAGCCATATGCAGAAAGCTGAAACTGTGTATGGCTATTTTTGTATAAGATGTAAGGTGTAACCAACCTTTATTTACACCTTATATAAAAATTAAATCCAGATGGATTAATGACTTAAATTTAAGACCTAAAACCATAAAAACCCTAGCAGAAAACCTAAGAAATACCATTCAGGACATAGGCATGAGCAAAGACTTCATGACTGAAAACACCAAAAGCAATGGCAACAAAAGCCAAAATAGACAAATGGGATCTAATTAAATTAAAGAGCTTCTGCACAGCAAAAGAAACTTATCATCAGAGTGAACGGGCAACCTACAGCATGGGAGAAAATTTTTGCAATCTATCCATTTGACAATGGGCTAATATTCAGAATTTTCAATGAACTCAAACAAATTTACAAGAAAAAGAAAACCACCCCAACACAAAGTGGGAGAAGGATATGAATAGACATTTCTCAAAAGAAGACATTTATGCAGCCAACAAACACATGGAAAAATCTCATCATCACTGGTCATTAGAGAAATGCAAATCAAAACCACACTGAGATACCATCTCACACCAGTTAGAATGGTAATCATTAAAAAGTCAGGAAACTACAGATGCTAGAGAGGATGTGAAGAAGTAGGAATGCCTTTACACTGTTGGTGGGAGTGTAAATTAGTTTAGCCATTGTGGAAGACAGTGTGGAGATTCCTCAAGGATCTAGAACTAGAAATACCATTTGACCCAGCAATCTCATTACTAGATATATACCCAAAGCATTATAAATCATTCTACTATAAAGATATATGCACACGTATTTTACTGTGGCACCATTCACAATAGCAAAGACTTGGAACCAACCAAAATGCTCATCAATGATAGGCTGGATAAAGAAAATGTGTCACAAATACACCACTGAATACTACAAAGCCTTAAAAAAGGATGAGTTCGTGTCCTTTGCAGGGACATGGATGAAGCTAGAAACCATTATTCTCAGCAAACCAACACAAGGACAGAAAACCAAACACTACATGTTCTCACTCATAAGTGGGAGTTGAACAATGAGCACACATGGACACAGGGAAGGGAACATCACACACCAGGGCCTGTTGGGGGTTGGGGGGCTAGAGGAGGGATAGCATTAGAAGAAATACCTAATGTAGATGACAGGTTGATAGGTGCAGCAAACCACCATGGTACGTGTATACCTACGTAACAAACCTGCACGTTCTGCACATGTACCCCAGAACTTAATGGAAAATTTTAAAAAAGAAAAAAAAAAAGGCTGGGCATGGTGGACTGCACCTGTAATCCTAGCACTCTGGGAGGCTGAGGGGCAGATCACAAGATCAGGAGTTCGAGACCAGCATGGCCAACATAGTAAAACTCCGTCTCTACTAAAAATACAAAAAATTAGCTGGGCATGGTGGTGGGCACCTGTAATCCCAGCTACTCAGGAGGCTGAGGCAACAGAATAGCTTTGAACCTGGAAGGTGGAGGTGGCAGTGAGCCGAGATTACACCACTGCATTCCAGCCTGGGCAACAGAGGGAGATTCTGTCTCAAAAAAAAAAAAAAAGTACTAAAGGAGCCATGAAGATAAGTCAACAAAGTCAAATT